CTGTTATACTATTAGGTAGAATAAGTGTGATGTAGTTGACCTTGGTGAAGACTTTCCTACCCCTTCTTCTTAACAAGGGCAAAGCCCAATCTGAGTACCCTGATATTTATTTCATGCTACTTAAGAGGAACAAATGTTTCACTTGAAGCATGGTCCTTTGAGATGCTTATGATTCCCACAAAAGCAAAACCACAGTGAATATACTACTATTCAGAAGGGCATCAATGAACCTGTTCTTCTGAGTCTTGGGAACATGTGGACCTTAATAATCTAGATCCAATGGAGAACTGACCACATGTACAGAAACAAGCGCTGAACCAATGACATGTCGAATTTTAAATGAAGTAAGCTTTATTTGCATTTATGACATTTCTCTCTTCTAATATGAAGCAAAAAATCTAAATAGGATAGATTAGCTCCTAAAATATGTACTAAATTTCTTTACTGCTCTGATTTTTATTACTCATCTTCAGAGCGCTAAGTAATCCATGGGTAAAGGAATTCTAGCATTTTCACACATTTTTTTAAATATGTTTTCATTGATTTCAGAGAGAGGAAGGGAGGGGGAGAGAGAGAGAAACATGGATGCTCAAGAGCAAATAGATCAACTGCCTCCTGCACGCCCCCTACTGGAGATCGAGCCCGTAACCTGGGCATGTGCCCTGACCTTAAATCCAACCGGTGATTTCCTGGGACATTGGAATAATTGAGCCACACCAGGTGGGCCACACATATTTTTATTACAAAAATCAAACAGACAAAAATAAATCATAAATTATCACAGATCAAACACCCATGTAACTTTTATCTAGCTAGAGAAATAGAACACTGCTAGCCCCCTGCAAGTTCCCTTATGCCCTCCTTCCCAATCACTTAACTCTCCCCAACCTGGCAAAAGTAACCACTGTCCTGAGTTTTATGAAATGCATTTTTCTTGTTTTTCTTTCTAGTTTTAATGATTGAGCATGCATTCCTTATTTCTTTGTTTGCATTTATATAAATGGAATCTTTTTTCAATAAGTCTTTATTGTTCAGATTATTACAGTTGTTCCTCCTTTTTCTCCCCATACCTCCCCTCTACCCGGTTCCCACCCCACCCCATGCCCTTACCCTCACCTCCCATTGTCCTCATCCATAGGTGTTCAATATTTGTCTAGTCTCTTCCCTCACCGCCCACACCCCCTTCCCCCGAGAATTGTCAGTCCACTCCCTTTCTATGATCCTGATTCTATTATATTCACCAGTTTATTCTTTTCATTATATTTTTTATTTACTTGATTTTTAGATTCACTTGTTGATAGATATGTATTTGTTGTCACTTTGTTGTTCATAACTTTTATCTTTACCTTTTTCTTCTTCTTCCTCTTCTTAAAGAATACCCTTCAGCATTTATATAATACTGGCTTGGTGGTGATGAACTCCTTTAGCTTGTTCTTATCTGTGAAGCTCTTTATTTGACCTTCAATTCCAAATGATAACTTTGCTAGGTAGAATAATCTTGGTTGTAGGTCTTGCTATTCATCACTTTGAATATTTCTTGCCACTCCCTACTGGCCTACATAGTTTCTGTTGAGAAATCAGCTGACAGTCATATGGGTACTCCCTTGTAGGTAACTGACTTTTTTTCTCTTGCTGCTTTTAAGATTCTCTCTTTGTCTTTTGCCCTTGGCATTTTAATTATGATGTGTCTTGGTGTGGTCCTCTTTGGATTCCTTTGTTTGGGGTTCTCTGTGCTTCCTGGACTTGTAAGTCTATTTCTTTCACCAGGAAGGGGGAGTTCTCCGTCATTATTTCTTCAAATAGGTTTTCAATATCTTGCTCTCTCTATTTTTCTGGCACCCCTATAATTCTGATGTTGGTACACTTGAAGTTGTCCCAGAGACTCCTCACACTGTCTTCATATTTTTGGAATCTTTTCTTTTTGCTTTTCCAGTTGGGTGTTTTTTGCTTCTTTGTATTTCAAATCTTTGACTTGATTCTTGGGATTCTGTAGTCTGCTGTTGGATCTCTGTATATTATTCTTTATTTCAGTCAGTGTATGCTTAACTTCTAATTGGTCCTTTTTCATATCCTTGAGAGTCTCACTAAATTTCTCAGAGGTTTCTAGAAGATTCTTGAGTAACCTTATAACCGTGGTTTTTGAACTCTATATCCAGTAGTTTGCCTTCCTCCATTTCTTTCATTTGTGACATGTTTCTTTGTCTCCGCATTTTGGCTCCTTCCCTCTGTTGATAGAGTGGCTTTGTGTGCTAGGTGTCCTATAGGGCCCAATGGCTCAGCCTCCCCAATTACCTGAGGTGGACACTCTTGGTGCACCCCTTTGTGGACTTTGTGCACAGTCTTGTTGTAGTCTTGTTGTAGTTAAGCTGCCGGGAGCCGGTCCATGCTTGCTGTTTCAAGGGACCTGGCATATATGGCATGCTGTTCTTAATATGTTTGCTCACCTTCTTGGCACTATGTGTTTTAACCAAGGTCTCCTCTCTGAGAAAGGTTGTTTCCCCAGGTAGGGATTTTCCCCTGAAGTTAGGGAGGGAATAAAACCTCTTAACTAAGTGCCAGGCGGGTAGTTAATCACTGCAAACAATCATGCTTAAGCTACATAATCTTTACTCCCTGGAATGGAGATAAGAAACGCCCTAACCTTTGTAATAGAAATTGACAGGATTAAAATCAACTGGGATAAATACGGATGTAACAAGACAATAAACAGCAGAACTTCGCTGGAGATCCAGACCAGAACTTGGCTGGAGATCCTGGCTAGAGATCCTGGCTAGGCTGCTGATCAACTGAACGCTGTCTCTGTGTCATTCCTTCTTCGCCGACTCCATCCACACCTTTGGGGACCCCTGGACCTGCTGGGGTTTGACTCCGGCATTAAGCCTTGATTGTTGTAGTTATCACTGGGAGGAATTGACCTCCAGGCCAATTGGCTGTAAGAATCAGCTGTGTCTTCAGTGGGAGAACTTCTGTGCTGAAGACACCCTTCTGCGGCAAGACTTGCTTCAGTGGGGCTTTGGTGCTCACTGAGTCTGCCCCCTGAGTGTGTCCCTTATGGATCTGAGGAGTTGTAATCTGAATGGTCCCACTCTGACCACTGGGTACACTGGCTCTTGGATCTCAGGAGGTGCTAATTTAGCCTCTGCTTGAGGCTACCCAGCAGGAGCTACGAAGAGATCTGCAGATTCCCCTTCCTTTTTTGGGGTTTGGAGGTGCCCAGATGAGGCCCAGCTGTGAAGTAATGCAAGCTGCTGTGGGGCCTTGGGCCTTCTCTTGGAAGTTCTGGGTCTGTCTGGCCCAGCTGCAATTTGTTAAGTAATTTTCAGATTGCAAAGGGCCAGGGCATTCATATGCAAAAGCCTCTGCCACAGCCTGGGTGGGGCGGGGTCTCAGGGAATCAACAGGGTGGAGCAAGCAGCTATGGCTGATCCTCAGCCCTGCCCTAAGACGCCCCGTGTCTCAGTGTCCAGGTAATCGCTGCAAGCACCTCCGAGAGAAAGCCGCCCTCGAGTTCCGAGTTCTGCCCGCTGCCAGACAGTCCAGTTTCTTCCCGTATGAGCCTGGGTCCCCAGAGTCTCGCCTGGAACTGGAGTTCAGAAAAGTCGGGAGTTTGTATCTCCCTCCCAATTGAAAAAAACCACAGTGTACCCAGTTGCTAGCCTGTTTTGTACAGGCCTCCATACCTCCGCTCTTCTGCACCTCTGCACCTCCTACCAGTCTAGATGTGCTTTCTCTTTCCCTCTAGTTGTCAGACTTCCACTCAGCCAGCCTTCCCGTGGTTCTGGATGATATCCGTTTTGTCTTTTAGTTGTAGTTTTGATGTGGTTATGCAAGACAGCAAGTTCAGGTGTTTACCTATGCTGCCATCTTGGTTCCTCTAAATGGAATCTTAAAGTAGGTTTTTTGTATCTGGTTTCTTTCATTTTACATTATGTTTATGAGATTCATACATATTGTTGTGTGTAGTTGTAGCACATTCATTTTCTTTGCTGTATAGTATTCTATTTAATGTACATATCAGGGTTCATCTATTCTATGATTAGTGGACATTCAAGTTATTTTTGTTTTGTGGATAAAGTTACTATGAACATTTTTGCGTATGTCTCTAGGTAGAATTTTTGTTGAGTACCCACCTAAGAGTGGAATTGATAAGTCATAGAGTATGCATATGCTTAATAAATGATGAAATGCCAAACTGTTTGCTGAAATGATTGTACAAAACGTACTGTCCTAGTAGCATGTGAGAGTTCCCTTTACTCTAACATGTTATTGCCAGTCTAGTTAGTTTTAGCTATTATATACTATTACCTTATTTTGGATTTAATTTGCATTTCTCTGATTACTTATGAAATCAAGTGCCTTTTTTGTATGTTTGTTGGCCATTTGTATATCATTATTTGTGAATGTGATATATCTCCTATATCACTATATGGAAGCCTTATTTTTCCTTTCACATTTATACCTACAGTTTACCTGGAATTGGTTTGTGCTTATGGTGTAGATCAGGTTTCTTTTTGTCTCTATATGAGTATCCAGTTGCCTCACAAAGGACTTGTATGCATGCATATAAGCATAACCAATGGACATAAGACACTGGGGGATAGGGGAGGCTAGGGGACTGTCTAGGGCGGGGGGGGGGGGGAAATGGACACATATGTAATACCCTTTGTATTACTTTAAGCAATAAAAAATATATATATATTAAAAAAAAAAGAAAAGATCTTACTCTACATTGTCACCTTTGTCAAAAAGCAAGTGTTCATATAGCAATAGTCTTATTCTGGGCCCTCTGTTCTATTCAATTGATCTTTTTATCTACCTTATATCAGTAAGATGCTATTTTAACTATTGTATGCATATTCTTTTAGATTTTCTACATGCAGTTATATAACAATGAATAAAAACAGTTGATTCCTTTCTTTACAATTCTTGTACTTCTTTTTCTTCCTTTACAAACCTGTACAGTTCTTTTTTTTTCTTGCCTTACCCAGCTGACTAGGACCTCCAGTATAGTGTTGAATAGAAGTTGTGATGATAGCACCTTATCTTGTTCCTGATTTCAGAGGGAAACTTCACAACATTTCACCATTGTTTAAAGTGGGTTACTTTTTTTAAATAAACCTTATAGCAGATTAAGCAACCCCCCCTTCAAATCCTAGATTTTTATTTTTATCAGATTTTTTTTCCTGCAGCTTTTGAGATGATTATGTTTTTCTCCTTTATTTTGTTAGTATGGTAAATTGCATATGTTGATTTTTCCACTGTTCAACTAACTTTGCAATGCAGTCATACACCCAACCTAATCAGGATGTATTGGCCTTTTTATGTATTACTGAACACAGTGTATTAAATTTTTGTTTAAGGGTTTGTATCTATGATTATAAGTAAGATTGATTTATTATTTTTCTTTTCTAATAGGAAATTATCAGGTTTTACTAGCCTCGTGAAGGACTCCTTTTTTTTCTTGTCCCAGGAAGATTTTATTTAAGATTGATCATTATTTCTTCTTTACACATTTGTTAGAATTCACCAAAGAAACAGTCTGAACCTTGAGTTTTTATGAAAAGGTTTTTATTTACACATTAATAGTTTAATGCTATTCAGATTTTTAATTTCAGTTTATGACAATGTTTCTGAAACTGAAACTGTTTCAGTTTAAGACAATGTTTTTCTAACACATTGCTTACTTTACATTTTTAAATTTATTGACAAAGTTTTTATAGTATCTTAATGTCTATAGTATTTCATAGTATTTTAATGTCTATAGGATCTGTAGTATGTCCCACCTTTCCCAACATTGGTTATTTTGCTCCCTCTCTCTTTGTCTCTAATCAGTTTCCCAGGCATTAATCAATTTTATTACTTTTTAAAAGAACCAGCTTTTTAAAAAATTTCTTTTTGCTTTATTGAGGTATAATTGAAAAACAGGAATTATATGTTCTTAAGGTAGGTACCATAACAATTTCATGTTGTTTGTATGTGTATGTGTGTGTGTGTGTGTGTGTATATATATATATATACACACACACATACATACATATATATATATACATATACATATAGTAATTATTGCCGCAGTTAAACTAATTCACATATACATCACCTCATATAGTAACCATTTTCTTTGTGTGTGTGTGTGTGTGTGTGTGTGTGTGTGGTGAGAACACTTAAGATTTACCCCCTTAGCAAATTTCAAGTATGCAATACAGAATTTACTATGGCCACCATGCTGTACATAGATCTCCAGAACTTTTTTATCTTGTATAAGTAAAACTTTGTACCCTTTGCCAGTATCTACCCACTTCCACCTCCCCCAAGGGAGCCATTTTACTCTCTGTTTCTGTAAATTTTTCTAACTTAGATTCCACATATGTGAGATCATGCAGTACTGTCTTTCTGTGTCTGGCTTATTTCACTTAGCATAATGTCCTCCATTATGGTTCATCGATACAGTCACAAATAACAGAATATCTTTCTTTTTTAAGCCTGCATACTATTTCAGTGTATGTGTGTGTGTGTGTGTGTGTGTGTGTGTAACACATTTTCTTTATTCATTTATCCATGCATAGATATTTAGGTTGTTTTCATATCTTGGCTATTATGAAGATGGAGGTGTAGGTATAGCTTCAAAATACAGATTTTATTTTCTTTGGATGTATACTCAGAAGTGGGATTGCTAGGTCATAAGGCAGTTCTATTTTTAATTTTTTTTAGAAACTTCCTATTGTTTTCCATTGTGGCTGCACCGAAATACATTCCTACCAATCGTGTACAATGATTTCCTTTTCTCCACATTCTCGTAAGTTCTTATAATGAACCAGTTTTTTATTTTGTTGATCCTATTATATATATGCTTTCTTTTTATTAATTTCTGATAATATTCCTTGTCATTTCCCATCTGCTACTTTTTTTCTAATTTCTTGAAATTAATGTTTAGCTCATTGACTTCTCAACCTTTTTTGGTGTGTTTGTTTTCTGATACATGTGTTTAGGGCTAGAAATATCTCTCTAAGCAATTAATTTATTCAACTTTTAATAATAGCAATTTCATTATTATTCAGTTCCAAATAGTTTCCATTTGTATTTGTAAAGGATAAGTATTCTCTCTTATTTTGGGATACAGTGTTTCCAAAATACAAATTTAACCTAACAGTTGTTTTGTTCAAGTTTCTTTTTTTTTTCTTCTTTTTTTTTAATATATTTTTTATTGATTAAGATATTACATATGTGTCCTTGTCCCCACGTTACCCTCTACCCCCCACCCCCCCACCCCCGCTCATGCCCTCACCCCCCCGTTGTCCATGTCCATTGGTTAGGCCTATATGCTTGCATATAAGTCCTTTGGTTGATCTTTCCCCCTTACCCCCACCCTCCCCTACCTTCCCTCCAAGTCCCGACAGTCCAATCAATGCCTCTCCGTCTCTGGATCAGTCCTTGTTCATCAGCTTATGTTGTTCATTATATTCCACAAATGAGTGAGATCATGTGGTATTTATCCGCTCTCAAGTTCCATCCATGCTGTGGCAAATGGTAAGAGTTCCTTTTTCTTCTTCCTCTTCTTAAAGAATACCTTTCAGCATTTCATATAATGCTGGTTTGGTGGTGATGAACTCCTTTAGCTTTTTCTTATCCGTGAAGCTCTTTATCTGACCTTCTATTCTGAATGATAGCTTTGCTGGATAAAGTAATCTTGGTTGCAGGTTCTTGCTATTCATCACTTTGAATATTTCTTGCCAGTCTCTTCTGGCCTGCATGGTTTCTGTTGAGAAATCAGCTGACAGTCGTATGGGTACTCCCTTGTAGGTAACTGACTGTCTTTCTCTTGCTGCTTTTAAGATTCTCTCTTTATCTTTTGCTCTTGGCATTTTAATTATGATGTGTCTTGGTGTGGTCCTCCTTGGATTCCTTTTGTTTGGGGTTCTCTGCGCTTCCTGGACTTGTAAGTCCATTTCTTTCACCAGGTAGGGGAAGTTTTCTGTCATTATTTCTTCAAAAAGGTTTTCAATATCTTGCCCTCTCTCTCCTTCTGGTACCCCTATAATTCTGATGTTGGTACGCTTGAAGTTGTCCCAGAGGTTCCTTACACTATCTTCATATTTTTGGAATCTCTTTTCTTTTTTCTTTTTCGGTTGGGTATTTTTTGTTTCTTCGTATTTCAAATCTTTGACTTGATTCTTGGGCTCCTCTTTTCTGCTGCTGGATCTCTGTAAATTATTCTTTATTTCAGTCAGTGTATGCTTAATTTCTAGTTGGTCCTTTTTCATGTCCTCCATGGTCTCCCTATACTTATTGAGGGATTCATTAAATTTATCGGCGGTTTCCATAAAATTCTTGAAAAACCTTATAAACGTGGCCTTAAACTCTATATCCAATCGTTTGCTTTCCTCCATTTCTGCCATTTGTGACCTGTTTCTTTGTCTCCGCATTTTGGCAGCTTCCCTGTGTTGATAGAGTGGCCCTGTGCGCCAGGTGTCCTGTAGGGCCCAGTAGCTCAGCCTCCCCAGTTACCTGGGGTGGACACTCTTGGTGCACTCTTGGTGCCTTGGTTGTTGTAGAATCACTGGGAGGAATTGACCTCCAGGGCAATTGGCTGTGAGAATCAGCTGTGTCTAAAGTGGGAGAACTTCTGTGCTGAAGACACCCTTCTGGGGCAAGACTTGCTTCAGTGGGGCTTTGGTGCTCACTGAGTCTGCTCCCTGAGTGCGTCCCTTATGGATCTGAGGAGTTGCAGTCTGGATGGACCCCCTCTGACCACTGGGTACAGTGGCTCCTGGATCTAAGGAGGTGCTAGTTCAGCCTCTGCCTGAGGCCACACAGCAGGAGCCACGAAGAGGCTCAGCTGTGAAGCAATGCAAGCCGCTGCGGGGCCTTGGGCCTTCTCTTGGAAGTTCCAGGTCTGCCTGGTTCGGCTGCAGTTAGGTACATTCACATGCAAAAGCCTCTGCCGCAGCCTGGGTGGGGCGGGGTCTCAGGGAGTCAGAGGGCGGAGAAAGCGGCCATGGCCGATTCTCCACCCGGAGTCGCGCGTCTCAGTGTTCCGGTAACGGCTGCAAGCACCTCTGAGGGAAAGCCGCCCTCAAGTTCGCTCGCTGCCGGACAGACCAGCTTCTCCCCGTGTGAGACCTGGGTCCCCAGAGACTTCCCGGAACCGTAGTTCAGAGCCGTCGGGAGTTTGTGATTCAAAAAGACAGCCGCGTCCTCAGGCGTCACCCCCTTTCCTCGCGCGCGCGCGCGCGCGCCGCTGTACCTCTGCACTTCACCTCCGCAGCGCCTCTGGCTCTTAGCGTGCTTTTCTTTCCTTCTAGTTGTGGAATTTACACTCAGCCAGCCTTCCTGTTGTTCTGGATGATGTTTGCTCAGTCCTTTGGGGTAATTTTCAATTGTTGTGTGAGGCGACAATTTCCCGGTGTTTACCTATGCCGCCATCTTAGTTGCTCTCTTGTTCAAGTTTCTTATGTCCTAACTGGCATTTGTCTACTTATTTTATCAGTTATTGAAGTATGTTAAAATCTCCCACAATTATTATGGATTTACTTATTTTTCCTGTACTGTTAATTTTTCTTTCTGTATTTTAAAGCTATATATTAGATATTGTAAGCTTAATATATTTTCCTGATGAATTGAAACTTTGATAGTTACCAAATATCCCTCTTTGTCCATAATAATGATTTTTATCTTAAAGTTTAGCTAATACCACCTCTGGTCCTATCCTATAACTTTTACTCTTTCTGTATCCATATATTTTAGGTGTGTTTCTTGTAAACAGAATTTAGGTGTATTCTTTTAAGCAGTCTAACCATAAAATCCTAAATCCATTTAGCCCATTTAAATCTAATTGGCCAAGAGCACTAGCTTCATTTCCAGACAGACTTGGATTTGAATATTGGCTCTATCAATGACCAGATATGTTATCTTGAACTTGTCATGTTCATATCTCTAGGTGTGGCTCCTTGTCTATAAAATTGAGATAGTAATGACTACTCCCAGGTGTATTAAAGGTTAATGAGCAAGGATATAGTAAACTTTAAGTGTTATTATGGAAGTAAGAGTAAGTCTGATGTTTGGAAGACAGCCTTCCTGGAAAAGATAATCCATATTAGTAGGAAAAGAAATAAGGTTAAATGGGTAATGGGAAACCAAATCATGGGAACATTGAACTTAGCTGAAGTAAACACTTGATCTGGTAGGTGCTATTATAAGTTCTTGGGCAGGAGATTAGCATGACAAACCTGGAAATACTACTATTTTGGAATGCATTCTCAAGTGGAAGTCAGCCTATCAGGTATACCTGAGAACTTGTTGGCAGTTGTAAAAAGAAGCTGTATCAGCAAAGGATGAAGACCTAAAGAACTCCTACAAAGGAAGTTAATATTTTGGAGTGTCAGGAAAGCATTGAATTATGATTAGCTGTCTACACCTGTAAAGTTACCTCAAGAAGTAAAGATGTTGAATGTGAAAGTGGCTTAGAAGTGGTTCCATGTTTATTGCAGTATTATTCTATTTCAGGTTGTCACAGTCACATTCACGTATATAGGGTAGGAGCAGTTGTTCCTTAAATTTATTAGCCAAATCATTGGAGTAGAGTTAAGAGTATTCTCTTACAGCACTGCTACTAACTCATTATGCAATTTAAAGTTATTTGCTTCTTGGTTACTTCAGATTTTAGGTAGGAATAATTTCTGATAGTCTACCATTCAGATTTATTGTAAAATGATCAGTGTGTAAGTATTTTAGAAATCAAAGTCAAAAGTCACTTTAAAATAATTATTTTCTTTGGGACATATAAAATTAAGATTTAATAATTATCAATTAACACTCTAAAGTAGTAGACTTTTGAAGTTTTAGGTAAACAAACTCTTTGGTATCTGGGATTCCTTTGTAATCTTAAAAGCTGAGACCTGTAAAGAGCTTTTATGATTATGTTTACTTACCTGCCTGTCTACCTGTACTATACTATATTTTCTGTAAAAAAAGAAAAGAATGAAATTTCTTTAGTTTTGTAAATCTCTTTAATGTATATTTTGCTTAATAGAAGACAGCTGGATTCTTTTATCTGCTTTTGAATTCAGTCTGTGAGATATCACATGCCATATAACTTCTGTAAAACTCCACTTTATACTCATGAGAGAATGAGTGAAAAATACAAAGAGTTTCTTAGTCTTATTAAGATAGTTTTGACCTTGCTAACCCCTGAAATGTTTTCAAGGACCACAAGGGTTTCCAGACATTTTGAGAACTGCTGCTCTAATGTATTTCTATATATGTCTACCAAAACAGCTGCTGAGGAAGCGTTAGATAACTGGGTGCTAAAAGTAGTTACTGCTATTGTCACAAAGAAGTACTGTGCAATGCTACTAAACAAATTTGTCAAAAATATTTTGGCCCGAACCAATATGCTCAGTTAATATTTGACAAAGGAGGCAAGAACATACAATGGAGCCAGGATAGTCTCTTCAATAAATGGTGTTGGGAAAATTGGACAGATATATGCAAGAAAATGAAACTAGACCACCAACTTACACCATACACAAAAATAAACTCAAAATGGATAAAGGACTTAAATGTACGACAGGAAACCATAAAAATTCTAGAGGAATCCAAAGGCAACAAAATCTCAGACATATGCCAAAGCAATTTCTTCACTGATACAGCTCCTAGGGCACTTGAAACTAAAGAGAAAATGAACAAATGGGACTACTTCAAAATAAAAAGCTTCTGCACAGCAAAAGAAACCATCAACAAAACAACAAGAAAACCCACTGTGTGGGAAAACATATTTGCCAATGT